AGGCTGCCCATGTGCTCTCACAGAAATTGGATGATGTGGACCCTCTGGTGACTACCAACTTTGGCAAGATAAGAGGAATTAAGAAAGAACTCAATAATGAAATTTTGGGGCCTGTTATTCAGTTTCTCGGGGTTCCGTATGCAGCCCCACCAACCGGGGAACATCGTTTCCAACCTCCAGAACCACCATCTCCCTGGTCAGATATCAAGAATGCCACTCAATTTGCTCCTGTGTGTCCCCAGAATATCATTGATGGCAGATTGCCAGAAGTCATGCTTCCTATATGGTTTACTAATAACTTGGATGTGGTTTCATCATATGTACAAGACCAGAGTGAAGACTGCCTGTATTTAAACATATATGTCCCGACTGAGGATGGTGAGTTTATTACAGGAAAAAACAGGGAGATATATTTACACTTTCCTTTTTTATTCTAAGTTCCAACAATATTAATTCATGTGTACTGGTAGTATGCATGGCTTTTCCTGTTGGCATGTAGACATATTTTACCTGCGTGCATGCTACTCTTTTTGTTTATGTATGTCATTGTATCTGTTCTTGTTTTTTTCCTGCGCCTACTCATTTTTTTTCTTCCACAGCACATATACTCAGGTAGAAATGGGTTCCTAATTTCCATTTCCTACCAAATGACTTCTGAGAAGATGCATCAACATTACCTCATTGCATGTGCAGGCTCAATGAATTGGGGATCTTTCGCGTTCAGTAAATGCAGGAGTGTATTAAGTTAGATAGTGGTGTTGCATGTTCCAGCGGTCTACGATGGAGCGCCATGTTATTTTCTAGTCTTCTATTCATTTTTCAGTAAAAAGAATATCCAAGGAATGTGCCAGAAAACCCGGCAAGAAAATATGTAGAAAAGGAGGTATGTATAAAAGTGGAAATAAAAAATGGGGGAAAACAGCTTGCAGAGGAAGAACAAGATACTCTCCCTAGGATGATTTGCTGATGCTGGGAAGTGAATGGTTAGGTGATATTTGGAATTTGATGAAGCCTGTCAAGGAATAGGAAGACGGTTAAGGAGAGCTCTAGCTGAGTAGGTAACATTGGCAAAGCTCATCGGTGGTGCGTTGTGTTCTGGTGCTGGTAGCGTCGACAAGAGTTGAATCTCTGCGTTGAGTTTGCATATAAAGGAAAAGATACTTAGGATATTATGTTGCCTGCGAGGAATGCAAACAATGCTGTCTTACCAACCATTCAATTTTGATCTCTGAACTCTTTTCTGCAGCTATAGATTTGTTTTCTTTTTAAAATAGATCTGTTCAGTCACAAACGTCGATTTTTTTGTTTGTTTATCCTCAGCTCCTTTTGAACACCATATGAACTTTCTCATCGTAAGGATAAATTTGCCAGAACTATTCCCATTATTAAGTAATGCTTTTTTCCCCCCATTTTCAGTTACTCTTCCAGAAGAAAATGAGATTTTGCAGATTTTATACTAAATATTTACAGTCAGAATTACTTTAACATTTTTATATTTATGTTAAACAACTTAAAACATAGGGAAGAACATGATTCAGAAGCTACAATTAAATCAACCTTCAAATCATCCTCTAGCCAGATTGAGCAAATGTAGACACTGACAGCTGCAAGCCTGCATCTGAATGTAGCTTGTCCATTCTCCATTTTTATATAACATTCAGTAAATCACTCATAGGAGAGTATGATTTTTTTACAGCAGTAAATCTTCTAAGTGTTATTTTGACCTTATTCATAACTCTGCAGAATTTCCAATCTTCATACAGAAGTCATATTAATATTCTAGTGCTGCACATTCTACCTCTCTGTGCACTTCTAATCTCCTGGCTGGACAAACTCAGATTTCATTACAACATCTTTTATGGAGCAGGAGTGTCTAAACTGTTCTGTTTTATCAGGATTGCATTATATGGAAGACACTTCATGTATTGAAATTCTCAACTATGGACCAGAAGCATTTGCATTAAATTGAGTTTTGTTTTGTTTTTGCTCTTCTTTTTTGGTAATACTGGTAGAATGGGATTTAACCTTCATTTTGTTACTGATGCCATGATTTGGGTTAAAAGCACAGTATACTTAAGAAGATGGATAAAGAGGCAACAAGGATATTTTAAACAACTAAAAAAAAGTATTTTGTTTTTCTCCAGATGAGAATAACTGCAGTAATTTACATGCCTTCAACTAATGTACAATACTGCAGTGGTTATTATTATGCAGCTTATCAAGCATGTGTAATTAGCTAAGTGACTTTCGCCTCCTATCACAAAGATGTTGATTCACAAAGTCATAAATAAAGATGCTATTGAAGAATGCATAAAGAGAGCAGAGCATAATACATAAAAATATGTATGATCAAGAAAAACATAAGGGCATCAAAAGGTAAGGTAGTAAGTGAGAAAGTGACCTTTCTTCTCATACAACTTCAGAGGGAAAAAGATTCATTAGAAAATTCTTTTTCATTGTTCTTTAGATTGTTGGTTCCATCTGCTTCATAAGAGAATTGGCAAAGTGCTGTCAGGCTTTGCTATTTATACCCTGGCAAACTTTGTACTAATTTATAACTAGACTGGGGAAAATATCTGTTGATGCCGACTTGAACCTGTGTGTTATAGTCCAAGTCTATTTTGGTTTTATATACTATTAATTAACCACTCAAAAAAGTTATTTTGCTTGGGAATTATTATTAAATAAGTTTTGTTCATTTATTAGCTGTTTGTGTGTTATCCAAAGGTCTAAGTAACAAAGAATTTAATGTAATTTTCCTTATAAATAGAATTTTTAAAATAAACAAAAAGTAAAGTTTAGAGCTTGGCTTTTAAGTAGAGGAGTAGAAACATTTTTTTCCAAGCTTTTAACTTTTTTTCCCTTACTTTAACATAGGCGGTCTATTTCAGAAAATTATTGTATCCTGGTTTAAGAAATTACAAGTCATTTTATATCGATTTGTGCATATACAAATATATATATATTGCATATGGACTATGAGTTCTCAGCAGAATTGCAGAAGTTTATAAATGATAGTGCAGGAAATGTGTGAATAGCTGTGTGGCCTTTTTTTCTAGATACTAATAAAATTCTGGCTTACTATTATTTACCTTATTTTTTTTAAAGCATGTATGGTCACCTGCAGAGGCAGATGGACCCCCTTCTCTGTGCCAAGTACACGATAATATATGTATACTGCATTCATTCAGAACTCCTTCCTAATTGCCAATTATAAGCCACATACCATCAAAGGAGTCAGCAATGAATGAAACAGAAAAAGGACTCTCTTCCCATAGAACTTACATTCAAGTAACTTTACAAAGAACAAAGCAGTTTCTGCACCTTGGTCTGCATAAAAGGAAGAAAAATCTTTTTCCTCTTCCAAGAAGTGCTGTGTTATACTTTTTAAATAGAGCTTTTACAGTATTTTCCTGTGTGATTGAAGGAAAAAAACAACAACACATTTTTATCAATAGGTTGCCTTTCATTTTAAAACAAGTCCCAGTTGCACTTTTTAATCTGTCTTTTTATATTTCCCATGATGGTATTAGCCATATGTTAATTACCCTCTAGATATTTCTTCAGAGTTTTATCCTTGCAAAATTGAAAGGAAGGATGAATGCTTAAAATGAGATGACTGTCAACACCTGGACAAGTAGGCAGATAGCGTGTCATAGAAACTGTAATTTGGACATGGAGGACAGACATCTGCTTTTATGTATTAGGTGTTTTGCATAGTTTATCTATTTAATCATCACAACAACTTTATGAGAAAAGTATATTAGTATCTCTATTTTACAAATTAGGAAGTAGGTTTTGAGAAGTTAGGTATTCTGACCCAATTTCTACTGCTAGTAGGTAGAAGAGGCAGGTTTGGTCTTAGGTCTTGTTTATATGACATGTTTTTTCAATTATGTTAAATTGCCTTCTATAGATGATTTCTATAGCAGAGGCTTGTATCTTCCTCTCTGTCTTCTTTCTTTTGCTCATTTGAATACAGCATGAGTCTTTTTTATTCTCTTAGTTGACAATATTTTAATGCTCACCCTAATTGAATTGAGTCAAGCCAATGTTAGCAACTAATTTCCAAAAACATGTTCAGTAATCATTTTAGTGAATACTTCTAATAGTACACATGTTTTCTTACTGCACACTAAGATCTCAATATATTTCTCCTGGCTGCTATCAAGGAGTAGCTTTACATTTCTTAAGTTTCCCTTTGTTCTTTGAGGTTGCTCTCTTGTGAGAGTTGCTAACAAACAGTAAAGTGGTCAAATATTAGGCAGTAAACATGAGAAGAAGGAACAAGGGACCCAGAGAATCCACAAACAAATTGATTGGCTCACGGATAAACGAGTTGTATATAACCTTGGATTTCTCCAACACTTCCACTATTATTTGCATAGCTCTTCTCAGATGAATGCAGAATTAATTTTTATTTCTGCAGTTGTGAGATATTGTTAACCTGCTTTTTTATTTACCCCGACTTTTATTGTGCAGAAGATTATAATCTTTATAGATAGCTCTTGTACAATTCTTTATTCCTTGAGTATTTTGTTCCTGATTTTCAAAAGTATTTTACTTTTACATGTTCTGCTTAATAGTCTTTCCCTGACTTGGGTGATATTGAATTCATTCAACAGACTTTTCCATAAATTTAGGGTTTATTTGATTGGTTGTTTACCACAGGGGCTGATTTTTCCCTGGTTAGAGGTATATCACAGTGATTCCTATCACTGTCAATGTATTCAGGATTTTAAAAGGGGTTATATTCCAGAATGCACTTCCTTCTTGTTTATGTGTTTCTAACTAATTTATTGATTCCAATATTTATTTGACAAATATTTCCTGAGTGCTTAGTCTGTGCCAGTTATCACTCTAGGGCCAAGGGATACATCAGTAAACAAAAGAGGGGAAAAAAATGTTGCCTTCCCTCCTGAAGCTTACATCCTAGTGTGTAGCGACAGCTCATCAACAATAAACACAATAAACAACTAAATTAAAAAGGTGTAAGAAGGTGAGAAATAAAAAAGAATGGAGGATCGAGAGTGCTGTTGTGGAAGGTGAAGGTAATTTAAAATAAGAGGGTCAGGGTAGTCCTCATTTGAACAAAGGCCTGAGGGAGATGAGGTGGACATCTGGGAAAGAGTAATGCAGAAAGTTAGTGCAAAGGCATTAAGACAGGTGGCTGTCTTGCATATTTAAGGAACTGTTAGGAGTATGGAATATCTGGAAAGTGGGGAGAGAGAGAGAGAGAATGAGATTCAGAATGATCTGACTTTATTTTAAAGAGACTGCTCTGGCAGATGTCCTGAGAATAGGTTGTAGGAGGGATGGAGAAGTTGAGAGAGCAATGGGAGGCTATTGTAGTCCAGGTAAGACCTGAGTATGTATGGGCCAGGCTCAGACCAGGATAGTAACAATAGAAGTCTCCATATATTTTGAAGATCAGATTTCTTGATCAATTTGTTGTGGGTTGTGAAAGAAAATGAGGGATCAAAGAAGATTTCTAGATTTTTGGTCTGAATATCTGGAAGAATAGATTTGCCATTAATTGAGATGGGAAAGAAGAGATGTAGAGTGGTTTGGGGAGAGGCACAGTGTAATAGTGTTAAATTTAGTCTTGGACATGTTAAATTTTGAGGTGACCCTTAGACATTCAAGTGTAGACACCAAGGAACTAGTCTCCTGAACCAAGTTCAGGAGAGAAGTCTAGGTGGAGACATAAATTTGGGAGTCATTGTGATATAGAAAGAAAAGATTTAAAGTCATGAGGTTGAGTGAGAATAAAAAGAAGTAAATGAAGGTAGAGAAATGAGAAAGACACAAAAGATTAATCCATGGGGACATTCCAATATTATGAGGTCTGGGACAAGAGAAGGGGAGGACACTGAGAAAGAGTCACATGTGAGATGGGAGGTAAGCCAAGATGTTCTGTTGGCCTGAAAGTTAAGTAAGGAAAATGGGTCTAAGTAGACACAGTGATCAGCTCTGCCAGACGAGCTTCTGTGGGGTGGGGTGGGTCTCACACACTGCAGTGGGGCTAAGAGAGAATGGTGGAAGAGTTAAAGTCACTGGGCATAAATAATTATTTTAACAATTATTTTAAGGAGTTTTGCTCTAAAACGAAATAAAAAAATACGGGGGAGTGAGGACAATTAGAGGTTGTTTTTGTTACTATAGGTTAAGATGTAAGACATAAAGGAATTTTTGCATATAGCAAAAAAGGAACAATTGAAAAGTGAGAGAAAGATGATAGAACTGCTGGAGCTGTATTTTTGAGCAGGTGAGAAAAATTGGACTTAGTACACAGTTGGAGGTTTGGGATTCAGAAGAATGAGGGGAGATAATTTAGACTAACGTGTAGCTAGGCAGAGTACATGGTGTGAGTAATGGAGAGAAGTGGTAGTGGGGTTCTGTTCTCACCTGCTTGTTTCTGTTTTGTGTGATATCTAATATTAAGGGAAATGAAGTTAGA